ATTATTTTTAACAATATTATTGCAAATGCAAGACCAATTTTGTCTATGAATAGAATTTGTGTGTAACAGAATGTAGTTAAAATTACTTGTATGATTCAACAGAAAAGGCATGTTATGTGAAAGATTATTGTACAGCATGTAAAGGAACTTAAACAACATTAACTTGCAATACAGGATATTATAAATATTATGAATCTGATATTACTTAATCAAATTGTGTTAAGAAATGTCCAAATAATTTTTATTAAGATGAAGTATCCAAAACCTGTTCAAATATGAAATCTTACCTATAAACTAAATAAAATGGAGGAGGTAAATAATTAATTTATGATTTAAAGAATAGGTGAACCATTATTATTTTTTTACAACCATTTAAGAATTTATGCATTTTTACACAACTATTCATTTAATGGCAACTGTAATATCAGTTCCAGAAAAAATTAAAGAAAGAAGCTTTTTCTATAATGGTGGTATATTTTATATAGGGTCATTTGATACATTTTAATCCTAAAAGGTGTTGATCACATAAAATATTCAGAATTCTTAACATAAAATACGTTTCAGAGCAGTAGCTCATTTTATTGATTTTAACCCTACTAAATTTGACATCACTATTAATGGTGTAAAGTAAACAACTGTAAGTTTAACAATTAACAATTAAAATAGATTATAGTCAACAAAATCAGATTATTTAGCTTATTTAGATTACACTTGGGTAAGAACAGAATAATATCCAATAAGTTAAAATACTTTTCTTTTTGAAATAGAATAGCCAGAATAAGATGGGAATTATATTGGAATCTTTTATTTAGATGATATTAATGTTTATCAATTTTAATGTTACTAGGGATGTAACAGTTGTTTTACATATAATTTATGTACTCCTTGTCTTTATCCAGCAAATAAAAACCCAGCTGATTGTTAATGCTTAACAGGATATGTTATGAAGGATAATTAGTGTATAGGTATTATAGAATTTGAAGTTAGATTGTCCAATTTATTGTACTATGTGTATAACAGCTGGAGAGTGTGTAGATTGTTTAGAATCAACAAAAAGAATAAATTCTCCAATTTGTGATTAATGTCCTGTAAATTATTATTTAGAAAACGGAAATGTAAATTGTTAATCTTGTTAAACTGGATGTCATTAATGCCTAGTTGGAACTTCTTGCGTCTAATGTGCAAATGGATATTTTAGAAATTAAAAAAATTAATGTACTACATAATGTCCAGATGGATAGTTTAATGATTCTAGCAATGTCAATGATCCTAAATGCAGTATTTGTGATAGTAATTGCAAAAATTGTCAAACATTAGCAACAACATGTACTTCATGTAATGGATTAGCTATTCTTGTAACAGGACATTGTTATTTATGTTCTGAAGGTTAATATTTATCAGATACGACTTGTATGCCATGTGTAAATAATTGTTAAAAATGTTCTACTATTATTTGCACAACTTGTTAGGATTCTTTTTATTATAAATCATCAACTAATGAATGCCTTTCTATTTGTGATCCAGGATTTTTTGGTAATACTACTTCTAAAACGTGTGATGAATGTGACTCTAATTGCTAAACATGTTTAGCTGGTACAAATAAGGATTGTGTCACTTGTCCACCAGGAAAAGTGCTTAATCTCTAAGATATCATAAGTGGAGAATGTTTAATAAATTGTTTGCTTGGATTTTATAAAGTAGATGATGGTTGTGCAAAATGTTGGAAAGGTTGTTCTGCATGTCTAGATTCAACTCA